AGCCGTGTAAGTGAAAAAGAAATCTCGGACTCCCAATGTTGGCTTAATTCTTTTAAAAAATTCACTGTGAAATCACCTGTGGTGCAGAGCAAAGCTGCAGACGCAAAGCAGGCCTCTTGCGTGCCCATCCCCACCTGCCCTTGGCCTCATCGTCCACATGACCGTGGCATAGGCGCCAGGCCGAGGCCTTAACATGGTACACAGTGTGGCTAACCAAACTACAGATTTGATCACGTTTTCCCCTGATGTCCTCTCTCTGTTCCAGGAGCCAGTCCAGGACACCACGTTACACTTAGGACTTAATTCTTTTTCATGGTTTACTGAAAGCTGTAGGACCATAAACCTAGCTATAAGTTTATTATGCTTTTAGCTCTTATCCACCAAAACAAATGTATACATTAACTTCAAGCAAAATTTTAAAACTTCGAACCAATATAGCTTGATGGTTGATGCAGTTTTGCTGAGACCCTGTTGCTGCTTCGCTACAGGAGCATAGGGCCATGCCGCGCCACGAGCCCTTTTGCCTTCTCCATCACTGCGCGATTAGGTCGATTTCATTCTTCCCATCACTGTCCTCTACCTGATCAGTTACAAAACCTTCATGCGCACAGCAGGCCATGACATCGCGGGACTTTGACTTGGGGCTCTCTCGTTCCTCTCACAATTCCTCGCACCACGCCCCTCTCCTTCTCACGGCTGAGCTGAGACACTGGCCGTGGGGGCACGTGGAACCAGCGAACTGCGAACTTAAATGCCAACTTGGCGCTGACTCGGGGTGGTGGTGCTTCTCAGAAGATCGCCACCCAGGTCATCGATGTGCTTATATTAGTTGTGAAAAAGGATGGGCTTATATCACTGACATAGAAAAAAAGCCTAAAGGTTATTTTGAGGATACAACCATAAGCCTCAGTTTGGGAAAGACTGCCGTGAGATTACGTACAATGTACGATGTGAACTTAGATATTTAAGGTCTTCTGGGGACGAAGGATGAACAGGGGTTACCACAGTACCCACAGGGATGGGGAGAAACGTACTCAGAGGGGCAGACGCGAAGGAATGAACAGGGTGAGCGAGGGGCTGGTATTTTTCACGCCGTACGTAATTCATCCTGGAGAGTAGGGAGTGAGGGGCAGGAGTGGACGGCGGGAGGGGCAGCTCGGCTCTGTGACTGGGCAAGTCCCAAGCGGCCAGCAAAGGCGGGCAGATGTGTTCTCTCAGGCTTTGGGAGAACGACGCAGTTTTGCGTTGGAGTGCGACGCGATCCGATCTGCCCACTAGAGAGATGACTTGGTCTCCTCTGGGAGACAGGCGTGAGGCAGGAAAACCAGGGCAAAGGGTTGCGACGGGCTGGGTGGGCGAGGGTGCGGGTTTAGACCCCTAGGGCTGTAGGAACAGAGAGAATGCACCTGACCCCTGGCGGGTGGGGTCAGAAGGATCTGGAGATGGATTGGCCGTGGAGGTGAAAAAGTGGGAGAGGAATTTTGAAGATTCCTTGAAGGTTCTGGAATGGCAACCAGTAATGGAACATTTAAGGTTAAGTGGAGTCTGCAACTTAACTATTTTTTTTTCTGAATTTCCAGTGTTTTGGTTCCCAGGATTCAATGATAATAACGAATGCTTACATAGGGCTTACAGCATTGGGCTCTGTTCTAAGTGCTTCCTGTGTGCTGTGTTACCGAGTCCAAAAGCCCGTGAACTCTAAGTTGCACCATCCCCCCTGTACCTTCAGAGGCAAAAATACTGTCAATTAAGCACGTCCAATATGCCAACCAGATCCTCACTCCAGGGATGTTAAAAACAGGTGTCTTGGACTCAGTGATCCATGGCATGTATTCATTGATCTTCACAGCTGCCCTCCGAGGTACGGCAGAGGCAGGCGGAGAGGAGACTAACTTTCTGTGCCCAGGTGCTGTCGGGCAGCTGGGATTTGGACCAGACAGCGTGGCTCTGGAACCTGTGCGTTTAGCTCCAAGCACAGGCATCTCATAAACATTATATTCGAGTCCACGGCAGCCTAAGCACTGAGTGCTGGTGTCAGAGGTGATACTAGGAACACCAGAGCGACTGCGCCATCCCCGTGTAGAGCAATCGTAGAGGGCCCAAGCCCTCAGGCCAGCGACTGCGGGTACAGCTGGTCTGGCATCGAAGACCAAGAACACCTTGTTTTATCTCACAGAAAACACTGTGGCCCCTCGTGTGTGGTTCCTGACTCTAAGCTAGGACATTTCTTGTGGGAGAGAGAAGCGGCTTAAATGGACGTGTTTGAAACAATAGTTGTCTGGCACAGAGCTACGCTGTTTCCATTACCAAAGGCCAAAATGTATGGGACAAAGAATTACAAATTTGGGTCCAGATGAAGATTGATCCATTGATTGATTCATTTTTTACCCAGAAATATTTACTGAAAGCGTGTAATACGCCAGGCACTGGGCCACTCTCAGGGGCCCACAGGTGAATTAATAAGCCCTGTCATCAAGTCTAGTTGCAGGGGGTGGTCAAAAAAGTACACTACAACCCACAAAGATATTTGCCAGTGATTTCTTTCGAAAATCATTCAAATAATCCAGGGATGAGGAAGCAGTGAGGGTATAGCTGAAACCTGATGGATGGGTTGTGTGGAAATCGTTGAAGTGAGGTGATACATAAATGCATTGACTATGCCATTAAACTTTTAAGTGTGTTACAAAATTTTCCTCTCGTAATAAAAATGAGGGAGAAAGAATAACAGGGAAGACAATGTTCAAAAGGAGCCCATCCCAAGTTTAATAAAAAAAAATAATAATAATGAAGCTTTATGGGCTCTTTAAAAACGTTTTAACTGGCCTTGAGAGGCTGCAGTGACGGACAGAAGCCAGAATGCCTGAAGCGCTCTCTGAAGCATAGATACTTGGTAGAGCATCACGGCCAAGTTCATTACCATTGTGCTTGTAGGCTCTGTTCCTTGCATTTTGATAATAAAAACCTACCAAAAAAGATATGATTGCCCTAAAGGTATTTATACAGTACAGTGGAAGTACAGAATGAGCAAAATACTCAAAAGGAGAGTTTTGAGGAGGTGGTGAGTTGTGGGTATGAGGAGAAGTGGAAGACCTTCCAGAATCCAGATTAGCGTAGGCAGAATCAAAATTGAATAATGAAACAGATGCTAGTGAAACAGAAGGCCAATCTAGGGGTCAGAGGGAAATAGGGTTGAATAAAGCAAAATGAAATGGTCTAGGGCCTTCAACTATTAAAGTTAGAAGTAGGAGATATCTCTATAGATCTAATAGAGAGCACTTAAAAAGTGACAGATACTATTGTTTTACAGTCAACGGGCTTTTACAACACACTCTTGAAAATAATAAAAGGAATTTTCATGCATAAAATTATTCAACATTTCTTGAGTCATCCTGCGTATTTTGGAAGATAACCATTTTCTATTTTTATGACTTGCGAAAAGAACTCTCTCATGCTCACTCTGAAGCCCAGGTTTTTCCGCCCTGCCACACTGCCTCCCCAAGGACGGCAGTGCTGCCTCTGTCCTCAAAGAGTCTCTGGCAGAAGATGGAATTTGGGCTGGGACTTTGACAGTTATAATAAAGACAAAATCGCTAAACCCAGAAATCCTTACCCTGGTTTAGTATAGCCTAGTATAGCCTGTGCTCAAAATGACCCCCCTTGGTTACACATTAACCCACACTTTGCCCTCAGGTTTCCAACTAAGCCAAGACTTCTCAAGTACTAGGCAACAATAAAGGTAGTTCTCTAGGAAACTGGGAGATCAAGAGTTTGTGAACTTTCGAAAACAAGGGGTATATAAGGGGCTGTGTCTGTCATTATTGCTGCACACATCTCAAAGGACATTAGGTGTAAATCCACTCTTCCCTGATCTCTACCCCTTTTTTCACTATTTTTTAAAGTATGCTTTTATTTTATTTCCTTCCGTAGTGGATGAATGTCGAACAAACCCAGACCAAAATAACACTTTTAGCACATTAATTTCAAAGAGCATTTATTTCTAATGTAAGGTTGCACAAACAGTGGAGAGAAAATACACTTCCCATTGGTAGATGAGTGGATAAAAAAAGCTGTGGCTGGCGTGGTTCCGCTGCTGAGCGTCATTTTGAAAAGCGAAAGGTCGCCGGTTCTATTCCCAGTAAGGGCACACACCTCGGTTAAGGACCAGGTCCCTGGTTGGGTGTGTGTGAGACGCAAACCGATCTACGGTTCTCTCATACATCAATGTTCCTCTCTTTCTTCCTCCCTCCCCCTCTCTCTAAAAAGTAAGGAAAAGAAGCTGCGGTACATACACACCATGGTACGACTCAGCCACAAAAAAGAAGGAAATCTTATCACTTGAAGCATGAATGGACCTGGAGAGTATCATGCCAAGCGAAGACAGTCAGAGAAACACGAGTACATACGGTTTCGCTCATATATAGAATCTAATGAACAAAATAAACTCACAAAATAGAAACAGATCCGCAGATACAGAAAAAAACAGACTGACAGCTGTCAGGGGAGGGGAGTTGGGGTGTTGGTGAAAATGGTGAAGAGGACAAGTTTGATGATTACTAGAGGGGAACGGGACAGGAGGTTAAAGGGGGGCTAAACGGTGATGGAAAGAGACTTCACATGGAGTGGAGAACACACAGTACAGTATACACATGATGTAGTATAGAATTATACCCCTAAAACCGATATAATTTTTTCTCTCCCCGCCATCCCCCGGAATTTCCTCCACCGAGCCCGCAAGGCCCGGGTCAGCCCCAACACCGCCCGCCCACAGCTAGGACGCTTCGGCTCAGACAGCGACTTGAAGGGCTTCCTGCCGCTCAGGACGTGGAGCGGAAGGAGAGCGGCTTCTGGCGTTCCCCGGCGAGGTCCCTGGCAGCCCTGTCGCCTCCCCGGAGTCTCCCCCGCTCTCGGCTCGGCTGCTCTCCTTCCCTAATTCCTCCACTGTCCCTACTCCGGAAGCCGACGCTTTTTCCAGCGCCGGAAGTGCGTCATCAGCCAGTGCCAGCTCCGCACGCCACATTCCGCACGGCGTGGAGGACCCGCTAGCTGATGCTCGTGGGAGAGACCTGGACTGGAGCGTGGGTCGCCGCTCCTCCGCGCCACCATGCAGGTCTCCAGCCTCAACGAGGTGAAGATTTACAGTCTCAGCTGTGGCAAGTCCCTTCCTGAGGTGAGTCACCTGGGGCACCCCTCGCGGGGCCGCCGCCCCTGTCGTCGGCCCGGGCCCTAGTCTGAAGTAGCGCAGCCCTAATCGGCCCCCGCCCCGGGGAGCTGTCCGTGCGGGGAGCCGAGGACGCTGCTGTCGCCGCGCCAGCTGCTGGCCCGAGGGGTGAGCGGGAGCTGTGAGCTCCGAGTGACCCTTTATAGAGTTCTGCCGGGTAGAGGACGCGTCCCTTTGGGCTCCTGTGGATGTTCACAGCCGCTGTCCCACCAAGGAGGAAACCGGGGCAGACTGGTTGACCGACATTTCGTTCTCGTTTTAATGCCTGTTCACGGAGTGTTTGTTGAGTACCTGTTAAGTGCCAAGTTCTAGGCATAACAGACGTGAGCAAGGCAAAGGAAGACCTAGGTTCTGCGGAACTGATGCTGTAGAGGGCAGCAGTTTCCAACTTGCTGCACGTAACTCTATTTCGTTGGATCTTAGGCGTAGGAGTTGGAAGGGGCAGGGAAGGTGGGCGATTCTGTCTTCTGCATACATTGTGCAGCCGATCCAGTGAGGTGACTTACCCAGGGTCACACAGCGAGGCCCTGAGGTTTGGATTTTATTTCTTATTAGTGACGGTCAGGCCTCTACCCAGGAGGACGCTTTTTGCAGAAGCCCCTTGACTTTCTCAGACTGCTTGTTAGATAGTGGGTTTAGAACACGCTCCATGACTGCTAGCGTGCTGCTGTTGGTCCGAGTCCTGCCCTTGGATGTCAGATTCCACCTCGCTGTTCTTCCACGTGCCCACCCCTGAAAGACCGGGAGCCGGTGGTTAGGTTCTTCCTTTCTTCTCGGCATTGAGGTTCAGTAATTCCTTGGCTTCCCGCTGTTGTTCACACAACAGGATCCTTCTCATTTTGTTCATTCTACACATTTGTCCAGAAGTGATGAGGCGCAGGCAACTCTAAGTGCTGGGATACATGGTGACCATGCTGGAGAAAAGGTTACTAAGGGAGCAAACAAGAACACTTCTGATGACGATAAGTGCGGTGAGAAAGCCTCGGAGAGCGCCCTCCAGTGGAGTGTTTTGGAGAAAGCCTTCAGGAAGGGCCTCTTTACGAGAGGCGACGTTTGAGCAGAAACTGGGATGGTTCAAGGAGCCGATCACGTGAAGTTCCAGGGGAAGAGTAGTGCGGAGAGAACAGAAAGCGTAAATGCCCTGCAGTGGGGACACACTTGGCGTGTGGGGGACATAGAGGCACAGGCATGACCATGATATGCTGAAGGGGGGTGGGGGGCAGAGGAGGCTGGAAGGGTCGGTCTTGCAGGCAGGGTGAGAAGTTAGGGTTTTCTTAGTGCTGCGGGACGTCACTGTTGGGCTTTAAACGGGACTGCTGTGTGGCAGGTGACCACAGCTGGGGAGACTGGAGCAGGGACGGGTTAGGCGGTCCAGCTGAGAGGTCTGGTGGCGCGGGCTGGAGCGGGAGCTAAGACGCGGTGGGATTCGGGAGGTGGGCTCGTGGGATTTGCTGATGGATGGGAGGGTGGTGAGGAGAAGTTAGGGTGAAAGAAAGGAGGGAATCGAGAGAGAGCTCTTGGGTTTCGGATCAGAACAACTGGGTACGGGGAGGGGAGGAGAGTGGGCAAAAAGGAGCAGGAGTTTTATTTTGATAATTAAGGTTTGACATTCTGGGAAATATCAAGTGGAAATGTTGAGTAAGCAGCTGTGTGCGTACTAGCATGGTGGTGTCTGAGTCTTTCAGAGTAATAACTTCTCAACAAATGGCTTGTGTTTCTTTACCTACTTCCTGTGTAAGGTCAAGTGGGCTCTTTTGTTCTTTTTAACAGTGAGGCGCCTATTCAGTGAGAGAATTAGCTCATCACCATTTCCAGAGCACTTTTCCTATGTTTCTGATTAAATTATTGGACAGTGGTGAAGTGGCATTCTTCATGAGCCACGATTTTGTAGACCACAGGACGATGGCTGAAATTAGTGACAACTTTCCATTCTTTGGTGAACTTTGCTTTTCTCTTAAGACTTAATTTTTCCCTGCCCCGCGTGGATCTCCGTCTCGCGTGCTCTGCTGCAGTGCTGCCCACCTGCAGCGAAACTCCGGAAGGGGCTCCCCCCTTCCCATCATCACCGTGTTAGAGACCCCCAGCCCTCCGGGTCCCACGCTCTGAGGTGGAAGGGGTGTGGAGGGAAGCCTCGGTGTCCTCTCCTCTCCCCGGGCTTGTCCGCTCTGACCGCACGACACCGCTTGCTGTGTCAGCTGCCCCTTGTTGAGCATAACTTCCTGAGGAGAGGAAGTTAGTCTCATTGGGGGGGGCGCCATGGTAGCGCGCCTTTATTCTGTTGTGCTGGGTGGATGTGAAAGAATACACGGAGTGCCCAGAAATACATTTTTGACATCACTTATAACATCACCGTTAATGGAAACATTACTGTCTAAAATAAAATCAAAAGACTAGCATAAGCCTATAAATGTGTTCCATATATTAGTTGTAACGTTTGAGGCTTACTGTTTTCTTTTAGATTTTTGAGATGAATGAGTTTTCTCTTATGTAAAACATGGTAGTTCTAAAATTGTATTGTCTCTTGTATGTAAACATGAACGAGGAAAAAATCTAGAAAATCTAGAAGATACGTTAACAGTAGGGTTAGGATTACAGAATATTTTTACTTTACACGTTATATATTCATGTAAGGTTTTAAGTTTTTAAAACGTGATCACGGGTTAGTGTTGCCAGCAGAGAAACAGTTCAGTAAGGCTGTTTTACAGTGAAGCCTCCGTTCTCTGCAGTGGCTCTCCGACCGGAAGAAGCGCGCGCTGCAGAAGAGGGACGTCGGTGAGTGTCGCTTCCCCGCTCCAGCTGCGCTCAGCATCCAGGTCATCCCCCTGCCGCCCGTTCGTCATGCCGTCCCTAAGTAAAGGCTTACACGTGTGCGGTGGGAAACAGGTTTTTGCCCTTTCCCATCTTAAGAAATCTTTTGTTACGCTCAAGAAGTTCCTGGTGAGTGTGGGATTTGACTTTACTTAAAAGATAGCAAGCTAGCATTTTACTGTTCCCTGGACAGTAGCAGATGTGATACCCTGGGGTCAGAGGCAAGGACTCCGTCTGTCCCATGACACCCCAGGTAGCATGAGCGTCAGCATGCCTGTCAGTGCTCCTCGCCTGAAGTCCCGGGGCACTCGGCACGGCCCAGAGGGATGTCTGTGTGCAGCGGGTCTGTGTTGCAGCTGAGGAAGGCCGGCTTTGGGGAGTCCGCTGCTTTTCCAGCAGGCAGCGAGGGAGCCAGCTCCTGGGCCAGAGGGGCCATGTGCCTGCGCCTCTCCTGGTCCCCCGCTCCATAAGTAGCCCCAAGAAAAGCTCAGGTAGAGGAGTGGCCAGGGCCAGGCAGCCCTGCCACACCCAGCAGGGTGCGTCGGGACGCCAGTGAGCTGAGGGGGCTGTCTCCTAATGCTTCCGCAGCCGCTGTGTTCTCCCGGCTGCCACAGTCGCTTTGTTCGTTAAGTCCTCTTGCAGGTTTTGCAATAAAGAGACAATGAATATTTCCTTCTGAACAAAGTAATTTTACATACTGGACAAATGAACATGAACAATAAAAAGTCACTGCAGAAGATTTTGATTCAAGTTACAGCAGTAGGGAAGATAGGCATATAAGATCAGCTTTTAACGAATTATTTTGGACAAATTTTCATTATACTTTCTCTGTTACAATTTTTTATATATGAAGGATGATTTATTTCTCTTTTTTGTTGTTGTTGTTATGTTCTAAAAATCAAAGACCTAAGGTATTAAAGGATTTTTCTGGATGAGAGAGAACTACCCCAAGGCAGGCACTTTGGAAGAGTGGGCTTTATGTAGTAGTAAAGTTAGAAAACTAAAACTTTAAGTCAAAGGAAAACAAAAATTGCTGCTGTAGTAATGTTTACTGATTCTGGTTTCTCCTAGTTCTCTCATTCCATTGAGCGAACCAGTGTGTAAGAAACCAGGCTCACGTTGTTTGGAGAAGGCGCTTCACTGACTGTTTCTGTCAGCCCGCCTCAAACCTAGTGTGTCTTCCAGATTGAGTGGGCTGCTCCTGCACAGTCGGTCTCGCTCTTACATTTGTACTTAACAGACAAGGCAGTAATGGGCCATACGGTCATAAGCAGTCCTTTAAAAAAAATTTTTTTTTAAATCTATTGATTTTAGAGAGAGAGGAAGGTGAGTGGAGAGAGAGAGAGAGATCAGTTTGTTGTTTCACCTGTTGGTGCATCTCTTGGCTGCCTCCTTCATGTGCCCTGACCAGGGACTGGACCCGCAGCCCTGGCACATCTGGGTGATGCTCCAGCCAGCTGAGCTACCTGGCCAGGGCTAAATAGTCCTTGTGTGATAGGCACGTTGCTGTGATAGCAGCCAGCAAGAATCCACAGTTTCTTGTAGGAGGGAGCCAGCTTAGGGTTTTGATTCAGAGAGATCTCGAAGTCTTCCTCTAGCTCGAATCCTCTTGGCTGCAGATCAGGGTGTCAACAGAGGCAACTTGGTAGCTGTTTCTTGTATAACTTAAGATTTCAAAGGTTTAAACTTATTATTTTTGAGGGGAAAAAAATGGTAAGATTTTTGTTTTAGCCATGACTGAATGACGATAGTGGTTTAATGTTTATTCTGTTCCCCCATCATCCAGGTCTTAAAACCAGATGGTTTCCAGTTAATAATGATGGTTTTTCCTTTTTGAAAAATTACGATACTAAGTTTAGAAAAATAATGTATGAGCTCGGAAGAAACCGTGCCGTGTCGTGCACGGGGCTGTGTTTGTGGGTTTTCCCAAGGCTTGGGAGCAGGCGACCTTGCAGGTCTGTTTGTGGTGCCCTGCATGCTCTGCGCGCTTTGTCTTCCTGTGATGTAGAATAATCACGTGATCATTAGGCCACCTGTTTGTTTTCTCTCTTTGCAGATGTCCGTAGAAGGATTGAACTTATTCAGGATTTTGAAATGCCTACTGTTTGTACCACTATTAAGGTTTCAAAAGATGGACAATATATTTTAGCGACTGGTAAGCATCTTTTTGGGATATCATGGTGGGATAGATCACTTCTTAAATTACCCTAACACTTTATAATAAAAAATCTGAAACGTAGAAATATTTTTTAAAAGTGCATAGTGAGCACCCATTTATTTCCCTCCCACCTAGACTCGTCAGTAGTTTGCTGTAATTTGGTTTATTACAGATCTATCTGTCCATCCCTTACATTGCAGATATCGGTATACTCCGCCTCTAAGTACCTTACGTGTGTACCATTCCCTCAAGTTCAATATTTATTTATGGCTTTTTAAGGTAAATTTACATACAGTGAAATGCACGGACCTTAACTGCCATTTGATGAGTTTTGACAGATGCGGCACCTGTGTAGCCCAGACCCCGTCACGGTGTAGAACACGCCTGCCCGGAAGCTGCCCTCACGCCCCTCCCAGCCGGTCCTGCTCCCCCCAGGCACAGGCAGCCACTGCTCTGATTTTTTTTTAACCGCAGACAAGTTTAGCCTGTTCTAGAACTGTATGTAAACGCATTCATACACTGTGTGTTCTTTTTGTATAAGACTTACTTCACCTAGGACTTCACCTAGGACTTCATGTGTGAGATCCACATGTTATGTGTGCCTATAGTTTGTCCTTGTTTTAAAAAATTACTGTTACCAAATAGTATTTCCTTATAGAAATATGCCACATTTTATTCGTTCCCCACGTGCTGGACCCCTGGCCTGTTTCCCCTTTTTGGCTGTTCCTGATCCAGCACTGTGCCCCAGTCTGTTCTGAGGACATGACTAGGTCGTAGGGGAGGCGTGTGTTTACTCTGATAACAGCTGCCAGACTTCTTCCCAAAGCGACCAATCATGTTACACGCCAACCAACAAGGAATGGGAGTTCCCAGAAAGGTCCCTTTTAATGTAATAATTTTCTGTATCACATACTTAATATTTTTATGTCACTAAAATTTTATATTAGCAGTATTCATCAGTATCAGAGCTGTGACTATGGGAATATTTAATGTATTATAATGTAGAACAGCATTACCCCGACATTTTTGGTTGTGATTTTGGGACATATATCCCATGGATTGCCTGCATACATTTTTTTGCTTAACATTATCCACCTGTGTCCCTTTTTCAACCACTTTCTTACCTGACAGAACCTCTTGTAGGTCTGCAGGCCACTCTCTTTTGTTTTGTGTCCATGGCTCTCTCAGTGTTAGCACGCCTCACACTTCTTAGTTTCCAGTTTGATGTTTAGAATAGATGCGGTTTTATATATGTAAATAATTACATAAAATATGCACGCTACATATATTAATATGTAGTGTATGTAACACATATACGGTATGTAGTCATGTGCTGCATATTGATGTTTTGGTCAACGACGGGCTGCGTATACGACAACGTATACAATGGAGCTGACAATTTCTGTCACCTAGTGATGTCCTAGCTATTGTACCGTCATAACACAACGCATTGCTCACGTGTTTGTGGTGAGGCTGGTGTAAAGAACCTGCGCTGTCAGCCGTGCCCCCCCTTTTTTTTTATAAAAAAATAAAAAAAAAAAAAAAAAACGCACCACCACCCACCCCCCCAAAAAAAAATAAAAAAAAAAAAAAAAATTAACAACAACATAAAAAAAAAAAAAAAAAAAAGATAAAAAATAACCCCCCCCCACCCCCCCCCCCCCTCCCCCCCCCTAATATAAATTTTATATTTTATTTATTAAAAAAAAGTCGCAAAGGGAAAAATTTAATAAAAAATAAATAAAAAAATAAAAACTTGCACAATAAAAAACAAACCCCCCACAACCACTAAAAAAATAAAAAAAAAAAAAAAAAAAAAAAAAAATATTAAAAAAAAAAAAAAAAAAAAAAAAAAAAAAAAAAAAAAAAAAATCCCAAAACCCCCACCCCCCCAAATCCCCCCATTTTTATAAACCTCACTTGTTTAATGTTTCCTATCAGCGGACAATTTACTCACTTTAGTTTTTGGCCATGCTACACAGCGCTGCAGTGAGCATTCTCCATGTCTTTGGTTTCTTTTTTGTTTTCTTTTTTATTTTTTTTAATTACAGTTTGCGTTTAGTATTTTGCGTGAATTTCTGGTGCACAGCATAGTGGTCAGACAGTCACACACTCCCCAAAGAGCTGTTGTCGGCCCACCTGGGGCTGGTCGTTGTCGTCGTTACCGTGTTACCGCCGGCGGCGTTCCCCGCGCTGTGCCTGACATCCCGGGACTGTTTTGTAACTACCCATTTGTACTTCTTAATCCCTTCACCTTTTTTCACTCAGTCCCTCAAACCCCCTCCCCTCTGGCAACCATCTGTCTGTTCTCTGTGTCTGTGAGTCTGTTTCTGTTTTTTGTCTGTTCGTTTATATTGTTCTTAGTGACTTAAAGTGTAAAAGAACCTGTGAAGTCTTGGAAGATAATGCCTGAAAATAAGGTGAAAGCCAGACAAGGCATATTGCTTTGATAAAATGAAAAGTGCAGGAGTAATTTGCAGGTAGGTTGGCCGTAAGCAATTTGCATGGCCCCTTTGAAATTGAATAGGGAAAAGAGAAAAGAGAAAAGACAATTAAGACAAGGCATGTGCAGAATTTAATGTATAGTAAGTACTTAGCAAATATTAATCCCTTTCACTCTAAACTGATTTAAGGAAAAAAAAATCTTTGTATTAAGTAAATATGTTTTCTCCCAAAGGGAAATCTTGTTTTCATTTTTATTGCAATAGAAAGAAAGCCATCCTTTGAGCATATTTAAAATGTTGGCTATAGATAAAATTTGATATATTTTCTCACGTAACAAAATGTGGCTAGGCCAGGTGTGCTGTAGGTGTGTTTCTATAGGACAAATTTGTGTAAGTTGACATACACACACAGAAATACAGATTCAAGATGTATAAACATCACACAGTTCACAGATACTGCCAGGTGGCCGTCCAAAGACGCTGTGACAATTGACAGTCGTCACCAGCAGTATGTGAGAGCACTTTCCGTTACAGCATCTTCACTAGCGCCATGTTACCCAGCTTCTTATCTTTGCCGTTCTGATAGACACAAATGATTTTATTGTTTTAATCTGCTTTGTTAGATTACTTGTGAGTCATGTTAATTATTTTTTATTTTCCGTAACTTACTTTTTTATATTCTTGCTCATTTTCCCCTTGGGACGGTGGGGAGGGCTGCTTCCAAATTCTTTTCCTTTAATATGATTATAGCGAGTCCTGCATACCTCTGAACAGAAAGAATGCCCAGCATATCTGCAGGATACTGGCAATGAAAAGTGTGTCCTTTAGGTTTTATATCACATTAATATTTTTTATAGGAACATACAAGCCTCGGGTTCGATGCTATGACACCTATCAGTTATCCTTGAAGTTTGAAAGGTGTTTAGATTCAGAAGGTAAGTAAGATGTTAAATTTGAATTCATGAAAATAGCATTTTATATTTGGCTGCTTTTCTGCTTGTTAAAATGAGAACGGGTTGTGTATTCATTTTCTTTGCTGTGTAACAGGGTACCATAAGCATCCATTTGTTAGCTCACACTCTGTAGCTGAGGTCCATCCAGGCTCTGGTGCCTCCTGGGCTCAGGGCTGGACTCAGGCTGTCAGCCAGGCCACGCCTTTACCCAGAGGCTCCGGGCAAGAATCCGCCTCCGAGCTTTCGGGTTGTCGGCAGGACGCCGCTTGTTGCGGTTGTGGGGCTCGGGTCCTGTTTCCTGCTGGCTGTCCGCCTCGGGCCGCTCTCCACTCTCCTCGTCACCTGGTCCCCTCCACCTTCGAACCTGCAGCAGCTCACGGATCCTTCTCGATCCCCTTCTGACCTCCCTTCTGCTGCCAGCCAGAGAAAACGGCTTTCAAAGGGCTGCTCTGATCGCAAGTCACCCCTTTGCCACATGAGGTGACACGATCGTGGGAGTGGCGTCTCACTGCACTCATGGGTCCCGCTCATACTCTCCGGAGGAGGGGACTCTCTGGGGGTCGGGGGGTCATTCTCAGAATTCTGCCTGCGCAGAAGCAGGTTGCAGTGGGGCGGTCCAGCCGTCTGTCGCGTGGCCTTCGGAGAGAAGCGGACGGGAGGTGTGTCCTCCTCACTTGTTTCGCCCCATGCAGACTCCGTGTGCTGCTGAGCATAGCTGTTTTCACTCGAGTTTTGTTTACCTGATATACAATGAATGAGTAGACAGTTACTGTTCTCTTTAAAAAAATTTTTTTATTCACTGATTTTAGAGAGAGAGAGAGAACAGCATTGATTTGTTCCACTCATTTATGCATCATTGGGTGCTTCTTGTATGTGCCATGACTGGGGATCGAACCCACAGCCTTGGCATATCAGAACGATGCTCTAAGCAGCTGAGCCACCCAGCCAGGGCCACTGTTTTTTTTTTTTTTTCAGCAACAATTTTGAATGTTCTTTAATGTCTATTTTATTTTTAACATCTCAGAAAAACTGCCAAAATTTAGAAGTCATTACATTTTATGAATTTATTTTTAAATTGTCATCAGTTCTGCAGAAAATCTAGTTGATCAGCACTAAGAAAAGTTTTATATTTTCCACTTAGTGTTTTGGGAGCAATATAATATGGCAACTTTTTTTTGTTTTATATGCGGGCAAAACCAGAAGAAAAACCCAGCATTTGTATATAACTTTTGTGTTGAATTAGAATCTTTGCATTAAGCTTGCATTTTTATTAAAAACATGAATTGATGATTTTGTTTTTTTCTTACTGTTTCTTATTTTTCAGTTGTCACCTTTGAAACATTATCTGATGACTATTCAAAGGTACGCTTGAATGGTTTGTACTGGCTATCCTCAAGACATGAATGAGTGGAATTAATTTTTATGATAAGTATCTTTATGATATTCCCATTGTTAAATTTAAAATGGCTGTGTAGTAAAACCTGTCATTTTCTGTTAATGTGTTTTTAGTTTGTCACATGTGTAATATATAGTATCTTTTTAAACAGCAGTGCTAGAAATAGCCTTTGTCCAGCCTAATATTAAAATAAATTTTCCATATTACATATGAAGCCTTATCTGTATTTTTAAGAAGTGGTAGTAGTCATGTTTTTTAGATCACCTTAGATTCTAGATACGTGATTTTCATTATTGCATTAAAACTAATGTTATTTGCCAGGTTGCTTTCATATTCAAATGCAAAAAGTAAAATAGCAGTGTTGTATGCTTAATTTTATTAATTCTGAAAATAAATGGTCATGGCATATTCTGAAATGGTTCAAAACACAGCCAGCTGTGTATTTTCTCTTTTTTTCCTTTGCCGTATTCAGTTTCGGTGAAAGACTTTTAATGATGTCTGATGTCATCTTGAGGGAAACTTGAATTTCCTGAACTGATAGGGCTTTCTATATTGTCTTCAGTTCTGGAAACTATGGAGTACAGTTTATTCTTTTGGTTATGATAGCCATTCATCATGTGTTTGGGGACATGTAATTTTATAATGTATTTGACCCAGATATTGATAAATTTGCCTTTAATACAACCTGCAGATTTTAAGATACCTTTGTAATTCATTAAAGTTTATACAACTTTCTCAAACCTGGTGTGATAATTGTAAAATTATTCAAATGTGTTCTTCCGTAAAAATGGGAAATTACTCATTGAGGTTATTGAGCAGTGCTCTATATTATTAAGTATTGGTGTCAGGTGAATGAAGGGCATTTGTGTTAATAAGCCTTTCAGTTAGAAGGTAAGGTTTGCAGAAAAGCTCTCGAAGATGCAGGAAGCCATTAAGTAGCCACTGGAGAGGCTTGATTCTTAATCACAGTTCTTGATCATGATGGAGAGTTGGGTATGTAGACGTGTGTGTTTACGGAGAGAAAGGAGGCAGGGGAGAGAGATCAGAGGCTTTCTTGCTCTGTTAGTTTTAGCTTTGATGAAACCTAAGCAAACTAATTTTCTCGTTTCATTTTCAGATTGTCTTCTTACATAATGATCGATACATTGAATTCCATTCACAATCAGGGTTTTACTACAAAACCAGAATACCAAAGTTTGGGAGAGACTTCTCTTACCATTATCCATCCTGTGACCTATACTTCGTTGGTGCAAGGTATTGGGTCTAACACTCTTTGTTTTTTCCTTCCCACCTCATTTCCCACACAACTTCCCTTCTTAACGCTGAGGAGAGGAATTGAAAGGAGACTGCGCCACAGCCCCTGCTCGCAGGGGGTGGGTCCAGAGCGACCGGCTCCTTCAGAAATGCCGTCTTTGCCTCTGCCCAGCCGAGTGCTGTAAATCCAGAGGGCGACGGGCCACCTGGTGGGGTCTCACTAGCGGTGAAGGGAGCTTCTTAGCACCGTTGCATGGCAGTTAAAAGGTTTTGCTCTTAAATGCCACCTTCTTTATGATCGTAAAAATAGCGCATCTATTTTAGAAAATTGGGAAATATAAAAAAAGGATAAAAAAGAAAAAATCACGCCATCCAGAGGAAACCCTTATTAGCCTTTTATTGTATTCCCTTGTAGTCTTTTCTTATATACACATATAGGTACCATTTTGGATCTTATATTCTCCATGTTATTTATAAATAATAGTCTCTTTAACGACTTCATAATATTTCTTTGGCACATGGGTGGTTTAAATCACTTCTATGCATAAACAAAGTTACAAATAATGTGATTATTTTTAGATTTAGGGTGCATTTTTGTATTTTACAAAAGGAAGTGATGCCTTGTGAGTAAGATATGTGCACACACACGGGTGGGCAAAAGTAGGTTTACAGTCATGAGTATACAAAACAGTTTATTCTTATTAATTACTGTTTTTCATACAAACTGAACCTGCTTTTGCCCACCCTTGTATATATTTCTAAAAATTATACTCATTGAAGAAAAGTTTATTATAGTTTACCATATTTTTAACTTTACATATTACTTTGCAGCTCTGAAGTTTATAGATTGAACTTAGAACAAGGACGGTACCTAAATCCTCTACAAACTGATGCCGCGTGAGTATTTTGTTTTACGAATACTGCTATATTTACTTTGGCCAGGAGATGGAGCTAGATGTTCAGGTTGTTAGCAAATGTGTTGCATTTAAGCAACACTCACGGCAACTTCATTAAAAAAAGAGTAATATTAAATTTTCTTCTTAAACAAAAAACTCACTGAAAGAGCTAATGATTTCTTAAAATTTTTAATTTTTAAAAAATATATTGTATTTTTTTTATAGGAAAGTTTTAAAATTCCCTAAAAAGTTGGTTTATTTTTTGCAGTGTTCTTTAAATTTTCATTCATGATTTTATTTTGTTAAAATTATTCTTGTGGAGAAATTTTGAATTAACTTGGAGTACCATTTTAAAAATGTTTATTTTTAAGGTTTTGGTGGCAGAAATTTAAGGGGTGTTTTTCACTCTTCTTTTATCATACATATTGTCTACACTCTTATTTAAAGAGAAATCCTTTAGGAATGAACTTATCATAATAATGTTGAGTAATAATAACAACAATAGTGAAAAGGGTTAGTATGCCAGCCATTTTTCAGTACTTTACATATATTAACTCATTTTAAACTTACAACAAATTTTATGGTGGGTGCTGAGGCTCAGAGAGGGTCAGGAGCTTGTCCAAGTCCTGCAGCTGGTAAGGGATGGAAGCTGGGGGACTTCTCATCGGTGTGAATACAGAGCTGGTTGGCTTTTTCCTCTCTGTCTGAAAGGGTTTTTAAAGGTTGGAAGAACATTTAGTGATGAAAACCAAGTAAATTCTCAGTATTTTTTTTCACATTGACTTGAAATATTCTTATTTCCTTTAAAAAAAAAAAGGAACTTCATGATGCATTATTGCATTATAAAAAGTTATCTTCTCTTTGTACCATTTTCTATTTATAGTAACAGCCATTTTTATTCTTTATCCTCACCTGAGGACATGCTTGTTGATTTCAGGGAGGTGAGGGGAAGGAGGGAGAGAGCATCAGTGTAATAAAGAAGCATCGACCCATTGTCTTGTACATGCCCTGACCAGGGGCCGAACGTGCAGCCTAGCCATGTGCCCTGAATGGGGATTGAACCCATGAGCTTTGAGTTTACAGGAAAATGCTCCAACCAACTGAGCCACACCAGCCAGGGCAGAACAACCGTTATTATGGAGTGTCTTGTACATTCTGGATGCTGTGCTGAACATTTTGTAGTTTTTTCACTTAATCCTCACAATGACCAGATGAAGTATCCATTCTACAGACAAAGGCAATGCAACTTAGAGCAGTCTCCCCAAAGGAACTGGTCATGTCTCAGGGTGGCAGAGGTTCGGCCTGTGTTCTTTTTGCCTTGGGAGAAAATATACTGAGAAAGTAGAATGAACCTTTATACTCGTGACTGTATTTCAGAAGCAAGTTCCTCCTTGTCTCATCCCCTGGGAGATAGAGTGTCACCCTGGGAATCAGACACCTTGGTCACTGTGTGCCAGGCACTTAACTGTTTCATGCCTTGGAGCTGTTCACATGCGGATAACTGAGAGAATCTGCATACCTTCCCTCTCCACTGCATTTGGTTGACTGTCCTTGAAAGAGTTTACTGGGTATCCCTCCCTGTAAAGTAGAGGCTAATATGTTCTTCCTTATTGCTTTATTATTTTAGAGAGAATAACGTTTGTGACATAAATTCAGTGCATGGCCTGTTTGCCACAGGAACAATAGAGGTAAGCATACATAGACTTGATTTTTTAAAAAACTTTGTTTTACTTTTGATAATGAAATTTTGTTTAAAGACAGAGTCTTGGTTCCTAAGAGCAGCACGTTAACAAAGCGGCAAGCCGCTGGTTTGCTCTTTGTGTGGGAAGTCGCTACGGCTGCTGCAGACTGCCCAGCTCTGTGCTTGGACGCGGACCTTCCGGAGCTCGGTGCGGAGTCCCTGCTGGATCCCAGCTCCAGGGGAGCCGTGCGACAGCCGTTCTTGTTCTCACGGGAGGCACTGTGTCGTGGGGCCCCGGCTCTCTGCTGCTGGTTTGTTTGATGACTGTTGAATTACTTTTCCCGAGGCTGTTTCCTCATCGGTGAAATGGGGATAATAATCCTTACCTTGCCAGCTTTATAAAGGTGCTGGTGAGAATCACGTGAACAACCTGTGTGAAAACATGACTGCCTGTAAAGGCACATGGGGTTGTGACTTGTGCATCCTGTATAGCGGCATTCAGTAAATACACACTTGCCTTTTGTTTATTTTTTCTTTGGGGGGTTAAAAAATTTGTATTTATTGATTTTAGAGAAAGAGGAAGGGAGGGAGAGACATCGATCTGTTCCACACATCCATCCGTTGATTCTTGTGCGTGCCCTGACTGGAGATCGAACCTGCAACCTGGGCATTTGGCAGGGGGCAGGCAACGCTGTAACCAATGGAGCTACCCAGCCAGGCCGAACACAGCGCTTTCCTTTTAAGCAACAGTACCTTTGATTGAGTGTCCTTCACATTGTCAAGAATTTTTCTAGATTTGCATTTTAAATACAATAACATTAAATACTCATAGTAATTTTTTTAAAAAGTAAATATGCCAGAAAGATATTATTTAAAAAGTGTCCTCTGTGCCTTTCAGTCACCAAGTTGTACAGCCCAGAGGCAAATGTTAAATGATGTGCAGTATTGTCCCTTTGGGGTGTTTTCCCCATGTACATGCAGGTATACATATGTGTTAATAATAAGGTTTTTAAATTTTTTACAAAAAATGAAGTTTATTATGGTTCTCCATTTAATGTGACCTATGTAAAGATGCATTTTCATTGGTACTTATAATTACTTACAATGCATAACTAATTTTTGTAAATAGATGGACAGGATTCCATCGTTTAGATGTTCAATCCATTTATTAAACCAGTCCCACATGGATGAAATTTAGGCCTCTTTACTCAAATTACTTTTATGTTAGGAGACGAGACTTGAAACGGAACACAATGGCGATTTACAGGAAATGCGAAAAGCTGTTGAATGTGTGATAATATTGTAGGCCTGAATCAGGCCAGTGGCGCGTTCTCTTGGTAATTCCTTTTCTTGAGATTACCAAGGGGAAGTTTTAAAACTGTTTTCTTGAAAAAAGAGTTTTTAAATAGCGTTCTTAGAGAACCCTGTGGGCTGTGTGTCAGGACAGCGCCCTGAGGGGAAGTCCCATGTCAGGGCAGGCTGCGTGCCCCCGGCGGCCTTGGCGTGTCGGGGAGCGGCCCCGCCCGACGGCCCGGGGTCCTGAGTCACCTTGTAGCTGGGGCGTGAAGTTGGTGTGCATAGTTCGACCCAACTTTTAAAATTCATTTTTATATTAATTTTGGTGATATGTTGGATTTGATGATATGTTGGATTTTGATTTCTTTTGTGTCAGTTGCTATAATTTTTATTATTTATATTTGTTGTCAAAATCAGACAGTAAGGGTTTGCATTTTGTGCTTTTTGAAGTGTGTTAGATTGCAAGCTATGGCAATAAAAAGTCACATTTGGTCACAAAATACCTGTGATTAAAAAACCATTTTGTATTTACTCTGGAATTTATCTGCATTTCTGTTTTTGAAGTGTAGATTTATTTATTTTTATGTCTATAAAGACTATTAACTCATTTTGAGGAGGTGTAGAAGGCAAGGCCATTTGCGTAACCTGCTGCATGGTTTATGAGATTTCTCCTTATTGAAATCTTTGCAACAGACACGTTTGTAGTAACAGTAAATGGTGAATGAGATCAAGCCTCCCAAGTACGTTCTCAGTCTTGCTTTTAAGACGGCTAATGCCGTAAACAGTTTTTTCCCTTTGTGTGTGTTTCTGGGTGACCACGAAGGGTTTTCGGCACTGTCTCCCCGTCCTGGGAGCAGCTGCCAGCTGAACCCCTGCTCTCTGTTTGCCCAGGGCCGCGTGGAGTGCTGGGACCCGAGAACGCGGGGCCGCGTCGGCCTGCTGGACTGCGCGCTGAGCAGCGTCACAGCGGACTCGGAGTGAGTGCAGGCTACTCTGCGGTTTAAATGCTTGTCAGCTCCCATCTCCAGAGGCATCGATGCTAAACTAACATCTGGTACCAGAGCGGGGGCTTCTCGCGACTTATGTGTGAGGCTGTAGTTCCTGTGATCATTTTGTGTGGAGCCCTGTGCTGCGAGCGCCCGCTGGGTGGGTAGGCCAGGCGGAGCCCTTTCTCAAGGTCAGCATCAGTGTTAGACGGGGCGGGCAGGCGGTCGGGCGGTCGCTGCTTGCAGGTGGTGACACAATTGTCTGCCTGAGAAACCCGGAAGAATCAACTGGAAAAATACAGGAACTATTACGAGACTTAAGTAAATTGGTTACAAAATAAATGCACAAAATCTATGGCTTTGATATTTATCAGCAATATCCAGTTAGAGAGATATAATAGAAAACAGCTTACATTTAGGACAACAAAAGTTGTAAAATACCGAGAGATAAACAAGTACCTAACTGAAGAAAATGACAGTTTATTAGAAAACAAAAAAGTTTGAATAAGTGAAGAAAAATTAACGTTACTGCACTGAATAATGACTGGGGAGTTCCTGTCGAAGAGTAAATGGCTGCGAAGGAGGTGAACGCGCGGCCTTGAGGTTTCAAACCGACTGACACTCGCCGTGGTTTCGAGCTGAGGCTGCGGGGCGCAGGGGACACGGGGGCGCCGGCGGGCTGCAGCCTGGACTGCGTGCGGTCCTGCGCCCGGGACCAGGAGGCCGCGAGTACTGGCAGGAGGCCTCGCTGGCTTGCGACGTGTCCTCTAGCGCCGTTCCCACCCCAGGCCGTTGCTGTTGGTGGTACCGAGGGAAGGCTCGTTCCAGGTCGGTGACCTTGCAGCCGTTCACCAGTCTTTGTTGCTTTTAGAGGTCCGAGGCCCCTCTTTGCACCCCAGTCCTTTACTTTAGCTTGGACCCAGCCAGCATTAAAAAGGGAAACGGGCATCCCTGCCTGAATATAAAATTGTCTCCTCTCAAGCAAAACGGGATGTTTCTGTAAATATCTTAGGCCGGCTTAATTAAAGTGAGGCTATTGTCCTACTGAGTCTTTTAACCGGTTTTATACTTTCGGAAGTCTGTGTGTTTGTAGCTCCTTTCAGAATATTTCTTATAGTTTTTGAAACTAATCTTCAGATTTTTAAAGGTAGAATACTTTTATATGTAGAGCTTACTTTTTATTTTGACTGAGAAAGTTTGGATACAATTACCTTTTTAAAACATGGGCTAGAGATATGATATTCCCCAATAGAATTGAAGTGAAGGTTAATGATGAGTCTGTTACTTGGAAGAAGGTCTGGCCATGTGCACAGGAAACATGAATATTTTGCCTTTCAGGATAAACAGTTTACCAACAATCTCTGCTTTGAAATTCCATGGTGCCTTGACCATGGCCGTTGGAACATCCACGGGGCAGGTGAGTGTGTTTAAGTTGGAAACTTGGCACATAAGTTGGCACTTCAGGTCTGTGTACGTCTCCTGGGAGGCGTCCGCAGAGCTTCGCTGTGGGAACAGGAAGTGAGGCATTTTACACGTGGTGCAGAGGGAGATTTACGGTTGTGAGTACGTGAAGCAGGGGTTTATTCTTGTCTTATTCTTTATTAATTACTGTGTTATTTTCCACGCAAACAATCGTCAGCCTGCTCTCTTCCGCCCCGTGTGTTTTGGCCAGAGTGGAGCGCTGCTCCAGAGCGCTGTGTTCTTTCCCCGTGAGCAGCGTTGGCCCTGAGCTCGGTGGCTGGTCCGGGGGGCGCTCGGGCGGGGTCTGCGGTGGAGCACAGCACTTCCCAGAGTCTCCGGAACAGAATTCCGTGGTCCCACAGTTGGGAATTCTGTCGATTCCCCCCCTTGGGGTTCATCGTGCGTTTAAGCACCCATCGAAGGCCCTGAGAATCCCTGTAGACAAGAAATGTGTGTAATGAGTATCCCCCAAATGGATCTGTCCCAGGCATCTGGTTTTCCTTTAGCACATGAGCCGAACCCCGGCGGTGGGGGTGTAGGGCCAGCCCTCCGCGCCTGCCGCTCTGGGGGCGCAGACGAGACGCCTGTGGGGGCTGCGTCCCTCCCCTTTCCTCCCTTGCAGGCAGAGCCTGCACCTTATCCGTGTGCGCTCCCCCCGGCCAGGTCCGAGACCCTGTGTCCAGCGCCGTCACGGCCTCAGCCGACACGGTCGAGGGACAGTCCGTCCCCTGGGGTGAGGGTTGAGCTTCCCCGGGCTCCCTGCCTCTAACGTCGGGGCTCAGAAGGGAGAGCCACCCCCCCCACCCCCACCCCCAGTCCTAGCCTCGCCACTGCCCTCTGTCCTGACCCTCCCAGGGCTGTCTTTACTCCTGTCTCTCTTGTTTCTGTCGTGCGCTGCAACAGTGCCTGGTACTCAGTAGGTCCACACTGGACACCTCTGTTGAATTCCCAGACGACCGAAGTCCTCCCAGGCCTCCTTTTTTGTTCCTTTCTTAGTGTAGCTCAGTGGTTCTCAGCTGTAGGGTGCCTGAAAATTGCTTCCGGGTTGAATTCATAAACCCACGTACTCTACGGGTCATTGAAGAGATTTTTCTAGAGCTTTTTGCTGGCTGGCTCGGGGGTCCGTGCGCCCTGGGGGAGGGGTCACTGTGTTCATGACACAGTGGCAGTGAGGCAAGTGGCGGCCACTATTGTAAGTTTTCAAAGGAGCTTTTTAAGATCACCTAGTTGTTTACACAGAAATAACTTGTTTTTTTCCTTTTAGGTCTTACTCTATGACCTTCGATCGGATAAGCCGCTGTTGGTGAAGGATCACCAGTATGGGCTGCCCATTCGGTCGCTTCATTTCCAGGATTCTCTAGATTTGATTTTGTCTGCAGACTCTAGGATTATCAAGATGTGGAATAAGAACTCAGTACGTGTTTTTTTTGGTTGAAATTTCTATTAAAACCAATATTAAGAATATTTTGATGTTCTCGCCCCTCAGCTGCAAGTATCATTTTAAAAGTAACAAAATCTTATATTGCTGGTTTAATCTGCCTTCTGCTTTTCATTTTAAAACTTAAATATTTTGAGAGAAAAGATTAGTTTGTCAACTAAGTGGGAAGACATTCATTCAAGATAGTAAGAGTTCTTTGCATTTAATTAATTACAGACTTAGCATCTTTAGCCAAAAAGTGTCACTCCTTGTTTTCCTTTAAATCACTTGAGATGAAGTGGCGGGAAGCCCAGCGGCCTCGGCTGCAGGGCGGGAGTCGGTGTCCGCCGTGGGGCTGCCCGGGCCCGGGCGCCCCCTGCAGCACCACACGGTTCCGGGGCTTGTCCGAACGCGTGGCTGCCCGGACCAGCACTTTGGTTTTTAAATTGTTCGGTTAGTCCCCAGAGCGGTGCCGTACCTGAGCCGAAGTTCTTCCCCGCCCCCCGCCCCCGCCCGCTGCAGGGCTCCGGCCTGTCTCAGTTCTGCGGGGGTCGCCCCGACTCTCCCCCCGGGACCGACCGCTGCTTGCGTTTGTCAGCTTCGAGTTGGGAGGATGTTGAGGGCTTTCTCGGAGAGTTCCGTGGTGGTGTGGCCTGGAATTTTCTCTGCTCTTGTTCTGGTAGCCCAAACTAATGTACTTTAAAACAGTAATTATTTTTAATACTACAAATGCAGACATTTTATTTTGTAAAATTCACAAACTGCTGGGCAAGATAGAAGGTGCCTTGGCTGGGCTTCTGTGCTAGTTCAGGGTGAGGAGCATGGTCAGTTAGGACGGGTCCCCGTTAACCGTGGCGCAGTTTTCACGAATGTGGAATTTTTTTCTTCTTTGTTCCACGCAGTTGTAGTTCTCTTTTCCCCCTCCCTCTATCCTCCCCTCTTTCCTTCCTGTTTCCGTGGGAAGGGAGAGGAAAAGGGAGGTGGCTGTGTATGTTGCGTTGCCTTGGACGAGAACTTGGCTGCTGTTCCTCACTGAGCACCAAGCAGCCGCCTTCCCGGGCGTGAGCATCCCCTGGCCAGAGAGGCTCTGCTCCTGCGCTGCCCCCTGCCGGCGCCGGCAGGCCTCTTTGACGTCAGCCCGTGAAGCCGGCAGGCTGCAGTTGCTGCAGTAGGTTTTATGTAAGTGTGGCGTTGTTGTGTCTGAACGCTCCCTCCTGACCACCACCCAGCTGTCTTGGTTTGGCTAGCCTGGCTTTCCTTTATCCTGCTCATCACCTTGTCCTATTCCCATCTTACTTGCTGTCTTTTTTTCTGTCTACTTTCCTTTTTGTAATTTTTTTTAAAAGGAGCACAGGTCCCCTCACATATAAAGTAACGCCTTGGGCTTAACTATGTCGTCACCACCCCTTTGTGCATGCGTAGGGTTTTGGTGTGTGAGTCACCTTACGTTCATCGCCTCATCCGGCCCCCGGAGCCTGGGTACAGCGGTGGCGGGACACATCCCCGCCTCGCTGACCGTCGCTCCTTCCGCCTCGCCCGCTGGCACCCCTCCTCGGCTGCCCTGCGTGCCAGGGAGTGTTTTGCAGATTATGAGAATTTTTTTAAGTTGAGGTACAACTTTATTTTAAACTTTACCCTTTCCTGTTGTATAGACACTATCTTTAAAACCTCGTATTTATTTTCTTGGATCAGTCACATCTCCCCCATGGGCCTCAGTGTCTTTGTCTCTAGAATGAAAAGCATTTGATAAATTCATCAAATGAATCCGCTGAGATATTTTTAAAACTTAAATTCTGTGATTCCAATTAGCTGATTTTATTTCTTCACATACTAGTGTGTGTTAGAGTTATGTCGCCGGTATATTTTCTTTATGTGGGATTGTTAGAATTTGTCTTCCTTTAACTATTTTAATGATTCCTTTTTGGTTACTCTTTCAGGGAAAAATATTTACTTCCTTGGAGCCAGAACACGACATTAATGATGTCTGCCTCTACCCCAACTCAGGTATGTGGTGTAGCCATGGGTTACTCTGCAAGACCAACCTAAGCTATGCCCTACTGGTTTTAAACTCACTTTTTTCCTCTCCCCCAGCCCCTAAACTCACTTTATTTCTCCCCCGCCCCGCCCGCCCAGCCCCTAAACTCACTTTATTTCTTAAGACTGGGTTTGGCTTTGTCAGGACAGTTCTTGGATGTTGTATTTGCCTGAAAAATCAAGAGCAGGAAGCAGTGTGGCTGATTCAGACAGTGGCCCCTCAGTGACTCGGTCCTCAGCCAGCCTAGCTGTTGGCGGGATCTGGCAACAGACGGAGGCAGGCGGCAGATGAGATGCTGTTCTAGTGAACTCTTAGCTCTTCCGCGTGATGAGTAGCAGTGCGCGGGAATCCAGGGTAGGCATGGGGACGAGGCCGTGCTGCCTGAGAGCGCACCGGGCTACGAGGCCATGGGGTTTGGTGTGTTGAATGCAAGTCACGAGGAGTCTGCAGGATTTAACAGTGCCTTCAGGGCAAGTCTGTGAAGAGTTGGGGGTATGAGAGAAAGTGCGAATGTTCCCACTCTCAAGCTGCGTTGTACTCTGCGGACAGACATGCACAGGCCATTTTGACAGCGGGATACAGGCAAAGCAGGAGGAGTTCAGTGATGTGTTCAGACAGCGCTTTGACAGCACATTAGAGGGGGGCTTCGGCCAGAGCGGTGAGAGGAGTTCACAGATGCCCGTTTGCACCGAGTGTGCAGCGATGAGTGAGATTTGGTCGGTGGCGTTGGAGACGAGGGGACCCCTGTGAGGACCCGGGTGAGAAGAGCATGAGGCTAGAGCTGCGGAGGGGAGGGGAGGGGAGGGGAGGCCAGGCGGGGTGGGGTGGCCGAGGCTAGGCTGTGACACCGGGCCCTGCAAGGGGGCCTGATCCCTGGGGCTCGGTGGGGAAGGGGCGGGCTCTCGTCCCAGGGCGCGGTGGCCCGGGGGAGGGCGCGGTGGGGGGTTGTGAAGTTGGAAGGCAGGCGGTGGCTGGTGGTGGACGTCCAGGGATAGATGACACGCGCGTGGTTGGGGCCGTGCAGTCCGGACCTGCTCGGCCTGCCCGTGAAGGGTGGGTCTGCTGTGATCTGCCGTGAGCAGGAGGTGTGCTCTGAGCTGAGGTCAGGGGCACGGAGAGAGCAAGTTTGACAGAGAGAGGTTGTTCTTTCTCAAACATGCGAATGTCAGGAGGGGACAGTGGCGGTGCCTGGCCGAGGGTCTCACACCTGGCTGCCTGCCATTATCGCCTGCAGAGCTTCTGAGAAAGCACAGACTCCTCAGCCCCATTCCAGGCACGCTGACCTGGAGTGTCCAGGGGCGGCCGAGAGATGTGCGTTGTTAACGAGCCTCCCAAGTGATCGCGAAGCTCGGCCAGACGCTCAGCCTCGCGTCGGGGTCCGTGTCCAGGGCACAGTAGAGAATGGAGCCCCGCGACGAGCAGGACTGCAGACACAGACGCGCGGCACCTGCAGGCGGAGGCCACCCCAGAGGCGGGAGTGCATGAGGCTGCAGTGGGGGAGGCGCAGGCAGCCAGGAGCGGAGCAGGGCCTGTGGGGACGGAGCGGCGGTCGGGGAACTGGCGGACTTGGAGGCGGGCTGGGCGCTAAGGCGGGGCGTTCAGTGGGTGCTGCTCGGCACACCAGGCACCGCCACAGCGGAGGCGGAGGGAGAGCCAGGCCGGGGAGGCCGCCGCTGCTGCCGGTCTGCGTGACAGGTGCCACCGTGTTGATTTGTCTTTTCATCTTTTTAGAACCCTGTGTAGTTTAGTGGCACCCAATTTTTTTCCCTTTCTGTCTGTCTGTCTGTCTTACGTCTTAGCAATGGGAAGAGCTGGGCGGTTTGCCCAGGGCTGGCTGCTGCCCTGCAGTGTGGCAGAGCCTCGGGAAGAGCTGGCTTTCCCCGCCCGGCGCCCAGGCTCTTCCTGGTCACAGGCCGCTCTCGAGAGAGAGATGAGAGACTCAGGGTCTCTAATGAGCTTTCATCCGTGAGAACTGAGAGGTGTCACTCTGACAGTGGGCGGGTCAGATCCTGATGAGCTCAGGAGTCAGCTGCAGGGGAGGGTGCTGGGGTCCCCGTCCGTACTGAAGGGTCTGCAACGGGGTCTGAGCCGAGTCCGAAGATGAGTAAAGCCGGGTGGAACTGAATTTGGAACAAAGGCGATACGTAGGTTTAACTGGATTGAGGGAGAGTTCGAGGGCAGCAGAGAGTGATGAGAAAGTTTTCGACCTGTGCTGTCCCCCTTGGGTGCCGCCAGCCACATGTGACTGTTGAAAGCTCGCAGTGTGACCGCTGAATTGAGGTGTGCTCTAAGCGTGCCCCACACACCAGGTTTCAAAGGCATTGGATAAAGGAACGCGAAGATCATTAATTTTTATGTCAAGTACGTATTAAAATGAAAATGTTTTGGACCTACTGAGTTACTAGGATATTAAAATTATTAGAATATTCTAAGTCGCTTGTGTAGCTCGTGTGGTATTTCTGTGGGACGGGGTGGCCGGGCCATGGCGACCTTCAGCGGTTCAGGGTGCTGATGGGCCGCAAGGTGCTGGAACTCAGCCGCGGGCCTGGTGCTGCTCCGCCTCCACGGGGCGCGCGGGGACCTCGCCACAGTGGGGGTGCTCGTCCCCCGGAGGCCGGAGCAGCGCTGGCCGCCCACTCAGTCGTCCCCAGACCCGTCTCGCTTCCCGTCCTTCAGATTTCCCCGACCAGTGTCCCCCAGGTGCCTTAGTCCTTTTTTTTTAAAGCTAGGATGTAATCAGAGTGCGAGTTAATGTGGTTGTTGTGTGCCTTCAGTTTCTTTCAATCCAAAGTGGCCTCCTTCTCTTTTTGTTTCTTCTCCATGACACCGGGTTTTCCAAGATCAGGTCGGTAGTCTCGTAGAATGTCCCGTGTCCTGGACGGGAGTGATTTTTTTGGTGCTCTGAAATGTTGTTTAACTTGTTCCCCCTGCTCCTGCACTTTTTTCTATAACAGAAGTTGAATCTGATAGCTTGATGAGCTGCAGGTTAAATATCTGGGCCAAGAGTAATGCCCAGGGCTGCTGGGCCCCACGTCAGCCCCTCGTCATTCAGGCCGCCAGGCCAGTGGGGAGGCGCGTGCTGCTCTGTTGAGGTGACCGCCAGGTCTCTTCGTTGCAAAGTGCACCTGAAGGGTAAAAATTTCAAGAGTGATGTTTTGGTCAGAGGCCCTGACTATGCTGTCCAATAACTGATAAGAAGTTACTCAAACACAAAACTAGCCAAATACTTCCTTCCATGCGCTAGCAAGCACAGTAAGACAGGTGCCTCAGCTGCGTCGCGGGGGCGCGGGTCCAAGTGTGGGTGGCTCACATGCCTCGTGTCTGTCCCTTACTTCACCACATCTTCTCCCTTTAATGCTGCTCTTGTTGTTTGGTGCTTGAGCATTGTGGGCGTGATCATATTTTAGAAAAGCCAAAGCGTTCCTCTTTATCTTTCCTCTTACTCATTTCTGAGTGGAATAGTCATGATGACCGCTGTGTAATGGTTTTCTAATACTGAGGTTGCTCAGAACACTGGGAACTGGCCCCTCGTACGCCCTGGCTCTTGTTGCTCATTCAGCCGGCTCTGCGGGTCAGGGCGCCCCAGAGGCTGCGCTGCCCTTGGGCTCGGGTACACGTCGGCCTCACTCGGTGCTTGTTGAGCTCACGGTGGCAGAGTCCCTACCCCGGCCTTGTGCAGTCGGGATCGCTGGTTCCAGAGCCGCTGACAGGGAGAGGAGAAGATTGGCCTCTGAAAGACCTGCTTTGGGCTTCATGATCGTGCAGATTACCCAGCCGCTGTTTTCCCACCTGCCTCCCAGGGCGCGGGAGACTGCCTGAGCTGCTGAAGGCCAAGGGGCCTGTGTTCTGCCAGTGTCCTCCCCACGCCGAGTCAAGCTGTTCAGGCCGTCCACATGTCCGCCGTGCCCCTGTAGTAAAGTCTCAGTTCTCGTGCCAGAGCGGAACGCTTGGGAAGCAGCATCCTGGCTGCAGCTGGTCTGCATGGCGCTGTTCAAGGCAGCGAACGGTGCAGTGCTTCTCAGGGGTACCCGGGGAAGGACCGGGTTTTGGTTTTGCTTTGTTTTGAAATTTCCAGTTTGTTGCCTATCAGTCCTCTCGTAAAATAAAACAAAATGATTGACTACAAAAGGATCCCATGGTTGAATCTCACTGCAATGTCGAATTGCTAATACAGGTTTCTAAATTCCTCCTCTCGCTTTCTACACTGGCCCAGCCCACCCCACTTTGAGACTGGCCCCGGGAGCACTGGGAGCAGCATCCTGGCCTGGGGCGCTGTCCCCGGGGCTGCAGGGAGCGTGGGCGCCTGCGGCGGGTGCGGTGCGTGCACGGTTCCGGCGGGCGCTGTTGTCCTGTCTGCTCCTCTGCCTGTGGCCACACCACCCAGTACACTGCCCTCGGGTTCATGCCGGGGGTGTGTGCTTTCGACTCTAGGTGCTGGCGTCGTCTTTCCTGAAAAATTCGTATTTCTGTTGTTGAAACCATAATAAACACCAGTATACAGGAAATTTAAAATCGTACATAGTTTACTCCTTTCATTACAGCAATTTTTGTATTGTGTTCATGTTTTAAATTATCCTCACATTCTGTGTATTATTTTCTTTTGCTTTTCAGTTTGAGAATATGTTAGAAACATTTTTCACGTTGCTCCATGGAGTTTATATTTGTGCTTTTCTGTGGTTTATTTTTTGATCGTGCAGGAAGTCCTTTCATTTTATCTTACTTACTGGAGTTGGGGAGTCCTGCGGCCCCCAGGCTTTGGAGCCAGTACAACATCAGGTCCTGTCCTTGTTGGCCGTGTTGTGACCTTAGCAAATGACCCCACTCTCTGAGCTCCAGGTCCTGGCATAGCGCTCCGCGCTCTTCCCCTTGCTCGCTGCTGATCTTTAATTTCTGCGGAACTACCTTTCTTGACTTGGTTTGATTCTTCTGCTTCATGCTCATCAGGACCATTAAGACTCCTCAGATTCTGCGTGGTTGTTTGTCTTTCTCATGCCCAGTCGGTTTCCGTCTTGACTGTCCCCACCTGAGCTTGGTCGGAGGTCAGCTTGTGTCACTGTCCATGCATGGCTGAGTGAGACCCTTCTCTGTTGTGGGAAACGTCTGTGTGCAGTCTGAACTCTTCTGTGTGGTTAGGTGAGGGCCTTTTTTTGGTGGGGAGATGCGGTTGTGTTTCCTTGGGGAAGGATTGTCGTTGAATGTTCGGTGTTCAGGGTTGAACCGATGATGCCAGGCACAGGGACTGTCTGCGCGTGAGCCTCCTCTTGGCGGTGACACGGCTCTTCAGCCACAGGCCTGGGTCTGGGTCGCCTGGCAGTGCTGCCAGGCGGCGCAGGAAGCACCTCAGAGGAGGTTGGGTGCTCCCGTCGAGACTGCGGGGATCTTTGTTTCTGGGGCCAAGCACAGCGCCCGAGCTTTGAAAAGGTCTGTAGGAGCTACAAGCTATGAAAAGGTCTCTGATTGCTGTTTTGCTTTTACACATACACTCTTGCTTTTCTCGGCGGTTCTCTGTGCTTCCGTGTGTTCCGCGGTGTGCCCTGTGGTGTGGGGAGGGTGGCCCCAGCTCCGGGCCGGCTGCCACTCGGGAGCCTCTCCAAGATGGAGCTCCGCTGAGGGAGCCTGCTCTTGGCATGTTGGTTGGCCTCATCGCGACATTCGCTTCCGTAACAGCGTAAATGTCACTTTTACAAGCTTTGGGTTTTTTTTTTTTTTTTAAAGATTTTAGTTATTTACTTTTAGAGAGAGGGGAAGAAAGGGAGAAAGAGAGGGAGAGAAACATCAGAGCGTGGTTGCCTCTCTCTTGCCCCCAACTGGGCGGAACCTGGCCCGCAACCCAGGCCTGTGCCCTGCCTGGGAATCAACCCTGTGATCTTTCAGTTCACAGGACGGTGCTCAATCCACTGAGCCACACCAGCCAGAACACAAGCTTTTGTATTAACAAAAGAGCATCGAAAAATGCTTTTTAAAACAGAATCAAATTGTTGTCCTTCACATTTGGTGTATTTGATTATGTGGTCTGACAATCCAGGCATCTCTCTGTGGATTCCTCTACTGTATTCTACAAATAGATCTTCTAAATGACTCTAATTTGGTTGATTTGTCACAGTGTTTAAAAATCAGAGCTCTTGAATTTGCGTTTCAGCTCCAAAATCCCCTGGCTTATGACAGGCCACGGGTTTCGAGCTTTGTGTTTGACGTGTCAGAGAGGGCTGGCGGCGGGTCTCGCTCAGAGAGCCGAGTGTCCACTGGGATAAGGCGCAGGCCCAGCGGAAGCGGCGCCGCGAGTGAGGCTGGCAGGCCGCTCGGACGTCTCGCCCGAGACGGACAGCCTTGGACATTTCACCTAAAATGCCGCATGGCAGGCTTGAGAGTGGTGTCGTTACATCGCAGAATTACATGCTTATGATTTTGTAATAAAAGATTTTTTATGTAATAGAAAAAGGGCCCTACGCATGCCGGACCCCGTGTGTGGAAGCGCCAGTAGCTGCCCAGGACGTCCCTGTCGTGGTGGCCGGCTGCTGCTGCGGTGTTATTTGACAGGCATGCCTCTGGGCGCCTCGGGAGGCCCTGGGGGAGGAGCCAGTGGGGACCGAGGCCCCGTGTCAGAGAGCACAGGGGCGTGGGCTGGCTCACTGCCATCCCGGGTGCCAGGGAAGCGCTCCCTGCGCTGGAAAGGTGGCCCTGGCTTGGCCTCTGCTTCTGGAAGTGCTGCCCCAGGAAAACCGCACCCTAAGGACCCTGCAGGCTGCTGGGGTGCAGCCCCCGCAGAGTCCGCCACCGCAGGGCCGGCGGGGCGGTCCTGGTAGCCTGGGTGCGGCTGCAGGGCATCCCTGCAGGGCGCTTTGTTTTCAGCGGGAGCTGCCTTAGATTCTGACATGGGGGCGTGGGGAATACTCTCCCTTGGTTCTTTGATTTCTGATTGACAGGAGGGAGCCTTCCTTCTTAACTTTCTAATGTTCACTTACGATAAATAGCACCCTGAAACGGCGTGTTGGCTGTGTGCCTGAAGCTTAGCCCTTTGCCCCGGGACTCACAGTGACCAATGCCTACTGACCCGACCCGCAGATGGTGGGAGGCGCCGTCTGAGGCCGGAGGGGCCCAAGCTGAACTCCGTGGGGCCCGGTGCTGGGCACTGTGCTCCGAGAGCCTCGGACAGTTCCCAGCATAAACCAGTGGGAAGAGCACCTGTTCTCCTGTGTTTACCTTCTCGTTGTGTTCATTTTCAGGAATGCTTCTTACCGCCAATGAAACCCCCAAGATGGGCATCTATTACATTCCGGTAAGTAATACAAATACAAGTTCAGATAAAAATAGGACAAGCAAAGATACTTTATTTTTAAACTGGATGTATCAAGGGACTCCGGGTCGCATGTGGCTGTGTGAGTTACACTGTGGGCCCCCTGCAGGCTCCCCTGTGTTCCTGGAGCCAGGAGCACGGTGTCTAACCGTTCTTTACAGGCAACGACTTAGCATCACATCGATGCCAGAAATTAGTCTGTGTTCTCCAGATTTACATTTGTTTTTTGTGTCTAGGTATTTTATAACCTTAAACTTTCAGCTGTTAGTGATCAAGAGGCCACTATTTATTTATTCAGAAATAAAAGTCTCAGACTTGTCCTGTCTTCTCACTGTAGTTTGTTTCAAAATAAGTCGCATATGAAAGGCACTCGAGGGTGACATGAGCAATGAGGGCATGCAGTTTGCCATCCTGTCCTTTCTGAGTGTTTGTTTTCTAAGGAATGTTTCTGCTACCCATGCTGGAAGCCTCCCCACCTTTACCTTCCAGTTTATAGCCGGAAGGAACGCTAGGAAACGCGGTCCTCTAGGCAGAGCACCCAGCGTACAAAGGCGGCGTTGGGTGAGGGCCGGCAGCACCTCCTTCCCTGGGATCCGGGAGCGGAGGGAGGGGCGAAGGGAGCGCTCCAGAACCACTGTCCGCCTCCGCTTAGGAAAGTTCTTGTACGTGGGACGCGCCTTTTTCACTGGCTAAGCTGTGTGTGCCCTTCCAAAACAGAGCCCGTGGGTTGGTGTTGGCTCTGTGGCTTCAGGAAACCCATCTGTTGTTGGAAGCACTTTGAGATGTTTCTCTGAGCCGTTAGTAGAATGAAAGCCATTCAAACAGCAGCTTTCCCATTTTCCTAAGTTACTTGTTCCTTTCCCCCCGGACTCTCACGGTCTTTCTTATTCCTGAAGTTTGTCTGTCTTCCCTTGTCTTCATCTGCTCAGCATTTATTGATGGCATCACCTTTCCCGGTGCTGTTTGCTGGCACTGGGACGGCGTATGGGATGCTGCCCCTTCCTCAGCTGCAGCCCCGTGTGCTGAGCGCTGCCACAGAGCGCTTAGAGGGGCGGACACAGCCCGGGACGGGCCTGGGCCTGTGGGCCGTGGGAGGGTGCTCAGAGAGGCCTGCAGAGGGACTGACTGCTGCGGAGGGACCCGGGGGCGGGGCGCAGGGCGGGGGAAGGATCTTGGAGTGGAGAGTGCAGAGATCTGGGAGGACGCGTCCACCGGGCTGCACCGTAGAGCGCGAGAGGTGGGGGAGGTCTGAGGCTGAGGAGGCCCCGGGCCAGAGCCGAAGGCCCGGGGCGGGGGGCCGGCGCGGTGGGGCGGGGGCTGGCGCGGTGGCACGGTGGCACGGGGACGGCAGTGCTGGGAAAGGTGTGCGTGGGGAGCCACCGGGTCCGGTGTGCGTTTCGGGAGGGTTATTCTGGCTGTGCCACAGAGAGAATGGATTAGGTAGCCTGTCATCCGGAAGCCACCAGAACAGGCTGGGCAGTCCTTTGGGAAGATGATGGTGCTCGTGTTGTTACCTGGGCCAGGCCCCCCATTTTAGGGATTGGAACTTTGGGGGTTCTGGGATAATCGGAGGGAAGTCTGACCTGGCAGGCAGTACTCTCAGAGGTTCGTTATCCTGGAACTGCCAGGTGGTGCGTTTCAGCGGTGTTCCTCGGCGGGGGCTTGGTAGATTACCAGAAATGCCTTCCCTCATCCAGCACGACAGTCTTCCCCCAGGTCAGCCGCTTGGGGAACGTTGCCGAGAGAGGCAGGTAAAGCATCTTGCCCTGACCTTCACTTCTCGTCCCTGGAGAGGTCTCTCTTCATCTTCTCTCAGGAGTGTCTACTGTTTTGATCTTCAGCGACTGCCTGTAAGCCAGGGTCAACGCGGAGCCTTTCCCTACATCAAAACTAGGGCGGTTCAGCCAGCGGGAGGGGGAGGCCCTGCAGACTGAGCGCCAGGCAGCACCGGGAGGCCTGCGTTGGGCGCCTCGGGCACGTGCGTCTGGGGGCAGTCCTGAGTGCCGGGCCGCGAGGCCGCCTTACTGGTTTGTGCTGAGACGGCCGCCATGGGGACCGGGTGCGAGGGTTGTTAAGGCTGCCCTCCAGGCCTGGTACCCGAGGAGGTGTGGGGAGTACGGGTGCGGAAGGACCCGGGGCGACAGCCTGGTTCCTGCCCGGGTAAAGGTGGGGGCAAGGACGACACTCCGAGTCCAGGAAGAGAAGGGGAGCCAGACAAATTACTTTCCTTTTGTGTCACATTCTGCATTTTATAAAATGACCTTTAAAAGGAAAAATACATAGTAGTTTTGATATGTAAGTCATTTATGCATAGTCCTATATACTTCCAGTATTACAAAATATAAGAAAATAAAAACGCTGTTTGCGCCTCGATATTGTAAGCACTATAATACTTGGATGTGCTGTCTTTAAGTTACGCTTAGAATGTTTTGTGTGCGAAGTCAGACTTTATATACAAATTTTATTCATAGATATATACAAAGGCATTGAAATTACTTAAAACGTTTTGGTTCCCTCCATCGTAGAACCTGAGAGCTGAAGGAGACCCCTCACTCCGTGGGCCTGTCCGTCAGGGTGGGCTTCATGTTCCGAGGGCTGGCGCTAGCCAGGCAGCGAGAGGCTGCGCTCTTCACAAACGTCAGTTTCCACTTCCGAACTCAGACTTAACAGACAGACGGCTCCCAGGTGGCTGTGCGTGCACGTGGGGACCGCGAGCGCCTGCTGCCCTCGCTCAGCTCAGCGGGCTGCGGGGGCCTGCCCTTCAGCGTCCTGCCTGGCCGGCCCCCGCCCTGTGGCCTCGCGCCCGGTGGGGTTTGGGCAGCGCCACCGTCTTGACCGGGAGCCTGCCCTTCGTGGTGCTCCCTCAAAGCCAGCAGAGCCCGGGGTCGGAAAGCCTGCCGTTTTCATACTGTGTCATCAGACTCACCCAGCTGGTGTTTGGCGCCAAAGTTTACTTGAGGCCTCTAGGGCTGGGGAAGTTTCACGTGTGGTTCATGCCAAGCACAGGAAGTTTGGGCTGTGATTTGTATGAACATCTTATAAATCAGGTATGAAAACTCTTCCCCCTTTGAGGCTGTGTGAAAAACGAAGGTAACCTAATGTTCTTCCAGCCTGTGAAGTTTTGCCTTTCTGTCTGGCACCATCTTTCTTGACTCCTTGAGCTCTTTCCAGATGACATGCAATTCCCGATGCGCACACACTCCGTGTTATGCTTACGTACCCCCGTAGCTGACTAGTCTTTTATGGCCAAATGAATTGATCGCCTCCAGCCTCTTTCCCATTTTCTCAGCAGTTCTCATACTTTCTCTCCTCAGAGACCAGGATCTGTTATTTTGTTGGTTTGCTTTTTAAATTCCAGGGCCTAATTCACCTGTAGCTCCCAAGAAATTGTTTTTCAAGTTTGGTTTTCCCCTGAAATGTAACTGAATCGCAGGCTGGCTCTGCATCATTAGCACTGTTGGCAGCTGCGTGGGCTCAGGAGGCACCAGAGGCTCCCTCAGCGCCGAGCCCAGAGCGCGGCCAGCGTGCTTCGTGTCGCTCCTGCCGGCGTGTCTTGAGTTCGAGCGGCCAGTGTGTCGGCCAGCGCCTGAAACCACTCCTTCCTGTGTGCTTGGCTGCTTGCGTGCCTGACGGTCCCCGGGCCAGAAGATAACTTCTGCGCGGCGGAGTTAGGGTCAGCTCCCTCACTCGGACAGTGCGCCCCAGGGTGTGCGGCGGCGGGCACCCGGGTGCGACGTGGCCGTGAGCGGGAGTGCCGGCAGGTCTCTAAGGTGGCGCCTTGTCCGAAAGAGTTAGTGGTGATCCTGTGAAGAAGCTGAGCCCTTTCCCAGGAGGATGCAAAAGGAGAATGTGAAAGTAAGCACATTTGCCTTTTGGTGGCTCATGTTTGAAATTTTTCCACAAGTTGGCTTTGCATCTGGGGTAGGATGGACTTACCTGTTTTGAAAACTTTGCCTTTGCCTTTCTCCCTGGGCGTGCCTGTGCCTCCCAGCCGGAGTTGCCAGGAGTGTCGGGTGTGTTCCCCCCGATGGTTTGGCCTTCAGTCCGGATGGTGATCGGTTCAGGTGACACACTGCAATTTAAAGCCGCCGGTGACGGCCCGTATGTGTTCTCACTTGATGTTCGGAGGGTGCCCAGGTACGAGAGCTGAAACGGCCCTGAGCACGTTAGTGTCCGTGTGGAGCCCTAGAAGTGGCCGTCACGTTTTCATCTAAAATGCTTATTTCAGCAGAGAGCTGTTAAACGTAGTGACGGAAGTAATTTTGTTAGAAATTTCTGTTTCTAGTGCCAGCAGCAACATTTCTCTTGGTTTAGGGAGGTAGCACAGACGCAAAGGAAGCTCCCCGGGGACTCACCAGCTTCCAGAGGATGCTCAAGACAGAACACTGAACGAGAGGTCACTGAGATGTCTTCACACGAAAGGGTCATTCAACGAGCTATAAAGATCGGGGGAAGCTTTTGAAACAGCACATTAGAGCAGGAAGGGACATTTGAGGTCATCTAGTCCAACCCCTTAATTTATTGCTGAGGGATCAGTTACTTGTTCAAGGTCAAACGACAAGTTGGTCGCAGACCTGGCTCTAGAAGACACTTTATCCCACATTGCATAGTGGAAAGAACTTAGGGTTTGGGATCAGTCTGCCCTGAGTTTGAACACCAGCATGGGCAATCATGAACTCTGTGATCTTGGACGAGCTCCTTACCCTGTCTGAGCTTTAGTTTCTTGAATAATGAAAGAGGAGCGATAGCAACAGACGGTCTTTCTCAGTCACTTCTCATGGTGCCTGGTCCATGGTAGATGTTCAGCAGATTATTGCTGTCAGACTTTGCACCACGAGCAAACGTCACAGAGTCCGGTGGCAAAGAGTATTCAGCATTATGTGGACATGGGCCTTTATGTAGCTTTTAGAGAGAATGTGCTACTGAACAAAAGAAAGATACACTGAACGGGGTCGGACAGAAATCATAAATGGGGGCAAGGA